TTATCAGTAAACAATATTAATCACTTTGATGCTGCCTTTTAGCGTTCTTAGCCATTGTGTAACATGGAATTTTTGTAAAAAAAAAATTCTGCTTCGGTATTCAAAACTTCTGGCATTTACACAAAAATTGACAATTTTTAAAAAATGTTCATTATCAAGTATAACATTAATTCTACAGTTGTCTCCCATCCTTAAAGAGAATGTCTTCTATAGATTTCTATAGATTCTAATTTCAGTGAATTTCTTACCGATTTTCATTATGAATTTTCCCGATAATCAGACCAATACTTACTGTGTAGTAAGTATAACCGGTCACGGTAGTAAGTATAACCGGTCACGGTAGTACGTATAACCGGTCACGGTAGTAAGTATAACCGGTCACGATAGTACGTATAACCGGTCACGGTAGTAAGTATAAACGGTCACGGTAGTAAGTATAACAGGTCACGGTAGTAGTATAACCGGTCACGGTAGCCTAGTGGTGTGGCGTTCGCTTTGTGATCGGGAGGCCCGAGATCGATTCTTGTTCTCCGACCCGCGTCAAACCTAAAACGTAAACACAGGTATTGACTGTTATTGACCAAGCGCCGGGCACTAGAAGTGAAAGTCAAGGGTCTTTCGGATAAAACCTTAAAAACCTAGGTCCCTTGTCACGGTAGGCGTTGGCACGATTAAGAACCCTCATTGCTCAATGGCCCTGAGTGCCGAATATAGGTCTAGATTTAAAGCCCTTTACTGGTATATAGTGACGTCTCTATTTGAGTAAAAAATTTTCGAATGGGACGTAAAAGAAAAAACAATCAATCCAGCCAGCCAGTAGGTATATGAACTATCATTTGACAGTAGTAACTATGGGCCGAGGATGTTTTTTCCGGCGTCTCATTAAAATCTGTTACTCAACATTGACTTTTTTGGTAAAATTCTGATATGTTATTCATAATTTGGGGCAATTGACTAATATTGAAAAAAGATTGCAATTATTATTTAACACTTGTATAAAATTTATTCAGATGTCGCCCAGATCTAAACTAAAGGCTCTTATTTTGGCGGAATTTTAAAATCATTTCACTTCTTTTGTAGGAGCTCTGGATACATCTGAACAGTTTAATAAATTTAGGGTACCATAACAAACATTCAAAATAAATCTTGACACTACTGTTATATTACATACTACCTAAAGAAGATTGTTTTTTGCTCGTCTTAAAACACATATATTTATTTTTTTATAGGTAAACAAAAGCACACACTTATAATTATATCCAAGGAGGTTTTCAATTTTTTTGTACATCTGATGTTCAAGCATTAGATCTTTTTTCTTCCGATAGTATTTTCTTCCATCTTTCTTTATCTTTGTTTTCTTTGCTTTCAAACAAATATCAAGTAATGAAAACAAAATTTAGATTTTCTTTTGATCTCGGTATTCTTCCTCCTGTTTAACACATTTCTCTGAATTTTCTGTTTCCTGCATTTTTTTGTCTTTGATCGACCACTGAGGTCCCAACATACCAACATGGGGGTTATAATTTGAGCAAATGGGAATTAACATTATGAAATGAAGCTTTCACATAAGTATCAACTCTTCTGGCCCAGTAGTTCTTGAGAAGAAGATTTTGAAAAAAATTTTCCTTTAAATTTCAATGTAAAACGTAGATTATCTGTTGTAACCCCACCCTTCCCCAGGGGGTCATAAACTGAATAAAATTTAATCTACAGTTTATAATGAAGCTTTCTCATAAGTTTCAACTTTTCTGACACAGTAGTTCATGAGAAGATTTTAAAAAGATGTAACTAAATTTTCATTAATTCTTAATTATCTTCCCTTGAAGGAGGGTATGACCCTTCATTTGAACAAACTTGAATTCCATTTATCCAATGATGCTTTGTGGTACGTTTGGTTGAAATTGGCCAGTAGTTTATGAGAAGAAGCTGAAAATGTGAAAAGTGTACGGAGGGTCAGTCAGCCTACGATAGACAAAATGTGATCAATAAAGCTCATTTCAGCTTTCAGCTCAGGTGAGCTAAAACTGTTGACCCCAATCCCAATTATATCGGCACGTGTAAGAATATCGCAAAGTATTTTCTAGATAATTATTACTACTGAACAAAAAATTAACATTCAATCTCCTAATAAATATAACGAAAATAAAAATTGATTTATAAGATATATCAAGAATCATGGTATCTTGGCATAAAATAGTGGTTTACATTAATCCTGGACACAATTTTCTGACCAAAAGCTTTTCTCCCAATATTGTGAGTATTGCGAGTAATGCTTAAATAAATACAACGTCACAGTGTCTATCCTTTTGTCCATTTGTCTGTCTCTCACCGTATTTGTGTGTCAAACTTTCTCTCTTCCTGACCTTAGTCAATATTCTTTAAAAATATACATATCGGCGACAATATGTGCAAATGTTCACGGTACATATTGTCGCCGACAAAATGCGCCGATGCATGACTGTACATTTCGTCGTCCATTATGCAGGAGAAAAAAAGGCTCGTCTCGGTTGGCAAAGGAATTGTCGCCGGCGACAATATGTACCAATGGACGACAGTTTGTGCAGTGAGAGTAGGTACATATTGTCGCCGACGACAATATGTACAAAAAGACAATATGTACCGTCACAAGGGTCTTTATATAACCGACGACTACAGTGACACAGGACAACAGTTTTAAGTACTCGTCCAAAAGACTTTCACTTCTAATGCCGAGCCCTTGGCGAAGGAATTGTCACTTGCAACCAAAACTCAACAATAAATCAATTTTCCTTCAACCTCTTTTCAAGGTCTATTTTACTTTGACATCTTAAGTTGAAACATTTTTGGGTTCTCAGTGTTGTCTCAAAAATATCTGGGAAGTTTCAGTGGATAATAAAGTGATACTGCAGTATTCTTCTATGCAGATACATCAGCTAGTGGGGAATTTTAGGGTTCTAATGAGTCGATATATTGCAATGCCATATACACGATGAAACATTATAAGCTTTTACAATTGAAGTCCGGACGTATTAAGATATATTTGTTGTAACTTTACAAGAACAAAATCTGGAAAAGCTAGATATTTTTTTTAAAAAAATCATATTTTCAAATATACGTTCTACATTTTTATTTTCATTTCTTCCGGCTTTTCTTCCGCCTTCACTTATCTTTTTTCCCTTTTTAAAAGACGTCAGAGAATAAAGATATCTTTGATGATATTTTTTATTTTCTATTTTTGCATTTCTGTCCACTTTTACTTTATCCTAATTTTCGACTTTCTTTACTTCATTTTTTTTTCTATACCGTTGTTTCTGCAAGGAAATTCGTGTGTTTTCATAGAAGTTTAATTGCTTTCCTTTATTAGATACTCCATACATACCCATTTTTTCTTTTGTCTGTCAGTTAAATGTGCCGGTTTTAAAACTTATTTTAGCATTTTAAGAAGACTCCAATTGGGGCACCATACTTACCCCAAGGGTCATGATTTGGAACACATTTGGAACAAACATATACACTAGCTGAGGATGTTTCTTTATTAGTATTACTAAATCATATAAACATAACACAAAAGAATAAATATTTGAGAGGGACTTTGAAACAAAAGTAAATTATGACAGGAATGTCAATGGCGTAATGTCCACAAATGAGGTCGTTACATCCATCACTGTTGAAGCGGCACAAATTGTGAAATTGCAATCCATTGTTTACACTATGGTAATATTATCATCCCAACATGTTACGGCAACAGAACTTTCGAAATTCATTTCTGAATTTGAGGTCAAAGAACCAGTAAATATATGGATTAGCAATGTGATTCAAAAGATTTAAACGACCAAAGAATGCGTAAATATTTCTAACGTACCCTATTGTATTTTCATTGTTTGCAGACATGTAGATATGTGTGACCAATGACGTCAGACAGGAAAGTACATAGACAATAATGACGACAAGAAACATGACACTTATATTCTTTTTAGCCTTTTGTTTCCGACTTTTGTCAATCCTCGAGGTATTATTGGGTTCATCAGTAACATGTTCAAAATGGTTCCTGCCTGCTTTCTTACTAACACTCAACATTTCTGTTTCAATTGATGTCATATCAATGTTGCTATCTTGAACATTGTTTTCCCGATTTCGCATGCCTGGTGGACGTCTTTCATAAATAGTTTTGATGACAGGGATGTAAAGAACAGTTGTAACCAAAATGTTAATAAAAGAGAAAAATAGCAAACTCCCTAAGTATATTTTACCAGATCTTTGTCTGCCGTCTTCCACTACACAGATAGTTACATTATCGGTAATATTAAATGATCTGTCTTTATATATTCCTATGAATTTTAACGACGGAGATGCATAGCCGATGGAAATCATAAATAAAACCAAGATGGAAATCCTGCATATCTTTTTTGACATGTGTGGACCCAACGGACGGCAGATCATTAAATACCTCTGCAATGCTATAGCTAAGGTCAGATGAGCCGAAAATCCACCTGTCAACACAATTAAAAATAACATCATTTTACACAAAAAGACACTAGGGTAAGTATAGAACGTGGTGTCTTCCACGTAAAATTTAGTAACGTTCGACACAGATCCTACAAGATCTACTAAAGCCATAACTGGTATGAAATATCGGGAGCCGGTCTTGTCTTCTACATATTTAGCGTACATCAAAAGAACAACGCAGCACTGTTAAGGCGTACTTCAAAGAAATCAACAGAATATAAACGTGCATAAATACATCACCACATATACGAGCTCTTGTCTCGGATATGTGAGTTTATGGAAGTGACCCTATCATTTTGACCATTCCGGATAAATTAAGTCCATTTAGGTTCATTAATGTCATTCTGTCCGGATAATTGTAGTCCGTTGGGGTAAAGTCTAATATTAAGTATTTCAACTTCCTTTCTAGAAGATTCGAGAAATTGGTAAAGTCACGAAATTTGCAGGAGAAAAATTGCTTTTAATTTTATTTGAATTTGTTAGTCGTAAGAAGTTGAAAGATTTTTAGATTAAGTTTAAGGATTATTTAACTGCGTTTTAAAGCAAATTGAGGCATCGATGGCTAATTTCTGCATCGATTTTTGATCGATTTAAAAGTTTCACGTGTAGGGAAATTTTTTGTGAAATAATTCGGATAGTCTTTGTCAAATAATTATATTTATGTTTTTCGAGCAAAATGCCTAAAGCAAAATTCAAGTCAATCATATCCACACGGAGGAGGGCTAAGAAAGCACGGATGGAGACAACGGAGCCTACGGTTCAACCCGGGCAAGTCCTAGCCTCTGTCTCGGAGCCTCAAGCAACCCCAGCGACCAACGTGCCCGGAACTTCAGCTCATGTAGAGCTTCCCTCACTGGTGTTGTCCACAGCCTCTCAAACAGCCCCATCTACCAACGTAACTGTAACACAACCACAGACAGCAATGGTCTCGGGCTCTGCAAATCAAGTTCAACCGGAAATGAACGCTATTGCTCCAATAGATGTAGCTACCAGTTCTAAAGGTACAGTTGGTAATGATACTTGCATGCAACCAGATATGTTTTTGCCAAATTCTAGTTTACCTTCTATGGCAAATTCAACACAATTATCATTAGGCTATCATGTCGACAACTCGACCAAACAAAAGATTGCTAATGGGGAGTATATTAATTTGGCCCTTCTCTTGGTAAGGGACCCAAGTAAATTACAGGTTTCAACTTTATCAATGGATGCACAGGGTCAGATTATTGCACAACCAAAGAACACAAACAAAATAACATCAATTGACAAATGGACAGACGCATTTCTGATTTTCGCTAGCATTTATCTAACAGCACACCCCAATAAAACGCAGCAATTGCTCAAGTACTTGCACGACGTGAGATTAGGGGCTGAGAAATCGCAGGGTTGGGTCACGTATGATGAGCAGTACAGGTTACGCATGGCAATAAACCCAAATGGTAATTGGGGGGTAATTGACAATGAGTTGTGGCTTGTTTATATGTCACCTTCTGTAGCATACAATAATCAAAGGGCATCTACATATTACAAGTGCTTTGATTACAACTACAAAGGCAAGTGCAGCAGGCTTCAATGCACATATACACATCGCTGTCTTAAGTGCAATGATATGCACCCTGCATTGCTCTGTTTAAGTTCCCAAGCAGCATCTGCTCAGACTTCCCTTAACTTAAATCGTGCCTTTCGTGCAAATGGACCAGCTGGTCAGCAACCGCAGTTCCAAACCCCATACCAGTTCTATGCCAAAAGGCAACCTGGGCTACAAGCAAGACCTTTGGGACCTGGGCGTTTCCCCTATAAGAACTAATGCAGTGATGGAATACTTGGATAAATACCCTGACGAGTCCACGGCCATCTTTTTAAGGGAGGGTCTAATTAATGGGTTTAAGTTAGAATATTCAGGCCCACGTCTTCCTGTGTTTAGCAAGAACTTGGTATCTGCAGTGCAACATGCAGATGTTTTACAGGAAAAAATAGATAATGAAGTTAAGGAGGGGCGGGTAGCAGGCCCTTATCAAAGACAACCAATACACAATTTGCACATATCCCCAGTAGGAGTTGTTCCTAAAGCTGATGGCGGTTGGCGAATGATAATGCATCTTTCATACCCACCGTCAATCAGTATAAATCATAATATTGATCCAGTTTACACTGCTGTTAAGTATACATCCTTCGACACAGTTATACAAACAATAAGTAAACTGGGAAAGGGGGCAGTAATTGCAAAATGTGATATTAAAAGTGCATTTCGGCTACTTAGGGTTTATCCAGGTGATTTCGAGTTACTGGGAATGTACGTAAATGGAAACTACTTTTTCGACAAATGTTTACCCTTTGGATGTGCCATTTCATGTAAGATATTTGAAACATTTTCAACATTTTTAGAATGGGTGGTTAGGGATAAAACTGACATGGACACAATTCACCATTATTTGGATGATTTTATTTTCATTGGTGGGGCACACACTAAAGATTGTAAAATCCTTATGCAAACCTTTCAGAAGGTTTGTGTTGATATTGGAGTTCCCCTTAATCTAGAAAAAACAGTAGCACCTACTACTTGTTTAGTCTTCCTGGGCCTGCTTATTGACACAATCAAAATGCAAATTAGAATTCCCCAGAATAAAGTTAATGAACTTGCTCAACTGCTGCAATTTTGGGTGGGCAAAGAAAAAATTAAATTGTTCGAACTACAAACTTTAGTGGGCAAGTTGAATTTTTTTAGTAAAGCAATACCTGGGAGTAGAGCATTTAATAGACGTTTCTACAATGCGATGAGAGGACTAGACAAACCATATTTACACATTAGAATAACAAGACCAATGCGTGAGGACTTGAGAACATGGCTTGAATTTGTAAAAAATTTTAATGGGGTGGTGTATTTTCCAGATAGTGAATGGAGTACTTCAGATACACTTGAACTTTTCACAGACAGTGCAGGGTCAGCAGAGTTAGGCTGTGGGTGCTATTTTAAGGGTGAATGGATCTATTTCCAATGGCCTGCAGATTGGGCTAATACAGCAATTTTAAGGGATATTACTTTTTTGGAGTTGATACCTATTGTGTTATCTGTGTGGGTATGGGGGAAAAGATTGCAAAATAAAAAAATCATTTTCTTCATAGACAATATAGCCTTAGTTCACATTTTAAATAAACAATCATCGCAGTCTGAAAGAATTATGTCATTAGTTAGGCCACTAATGCTAGCATTGTTAAGATATAATATACAATTTAAAGCCAATCACATACCAGGTAAAAGTAATTGTATTGCTGATTCTATATCCCGCAAAAAGTGGGAGGTTTTCAGGCGCCTTGCACCAGCAGCGGACCCAGAGCCGCAGACCATCCCGGGGCCATTCCAGATATTACTCTCTCAGTTGAAGTAGAGCGCTTGTTCAACGCATCTATGTCCTTAAATACTGCACAAGCATACACAGTTGGGATTCAAAACTTTGACCATTTTCGCGAGACACAAGGATGGTCGCTCACTTGGCCGCCACCAGATACGCACATAAATATGTTCATTGCCCAACTGTCATTAAGGGGTTACAAACATTCGACAGCCAAGTCATATATTACAGCAATTAGCTTTTATTGTAAAAGTAATGGCATTAATGACCCAACAAAGACCTTTGTGGTGCAAAAACTTTTACAGGGCATGAAAAGATCAAATCCGGGTGGGGATAGTCGTTTACCAATTACATTGGATATCTTGTTTGTCATAATACCTAAACTTCAGGTAATCTGTAGCAGCTCCTACGAAGCCGCTTTATATAAGGCAGCTTTCTTGCTTGCGTTCCATGCATTCCTAAGAATAGGTGAAATTGCCTTATCAAAGGGCAATACAGTTAAAACCATATTACAAGTGGAAGATGTTTCATTATTTGCCAGTAAATTGACAATTAGTATTAAACATTCGAAAACAGATCAGATGGGTAAAGGGGTGACATTAAGCGTTCAGGCATCGCATGGGGAAATGTGTCCAGTTAGAGCTATGCAAGCATACTTACTTGGGCGTCCAACAGTTACGGGCCCACTTTTCTGTCATTTTTCAGGAAAACCCATGACTCGTTATCAATTTAGTTCAGTGTTGAGTAAAGCTTTAAATACGAGGGGTTATCAAAAAGTTCGTGGACTAGCGCCATAAAATTAAAACCGCTATTTGTACATCAATGAATTTTTAAACATTTAATCAGCATCATCTTTTCTGTCTGTAAAATAAACTATAAATCATAAGTTTTATTTTTTAGTGAATCTTAAATGTTTTTGTAAGCAATGGTATGTCCAGGCGGCGCAACCTCGAAAAGAACGTATTTTCTACCTAAGTGTAACTGAGAAAAACTCTTCTTATATGAGCATTTGGCATCCGAAAATCCCATTAATTCACTAGTGTGATATGACACAATTTTTTCGTAAAAGTTGTAAGTTTTACCTCATTCTGAACATTCAATGAAATTTTATCGTAAATTTTATTTTGAATGTCCAAACAGTAAAGAGGTTAAAAATGACGTCGAAAGGGGGTAAGGTGTCATTTTACAACATTTTATAAAGTTTCAGCCCCTGAAAAACCTTGCATAGCCTTAGAAAATGTTTAAACAGGCTACAGAAAATAAAATTCATCCAAAGTACTTGTTTTTAAATACCAAAAGAGATTCAGCAAGAAAGGAGATACACGGTTAATATCGATTTGTAGTCAGGGTGTCCAAAGTCAGTCACGTCGAAAAGTGACGTTGATCATTGGTTGACGTTGAACTCCGACAAGAAAATTATGCTGGCAAAATCAAGCGAGGATATTTCTCTATGTATAGATTTAATATATACAATATTAATGCATTGAAATCAGGAGTTCATGACATTGTAAAGTCATATAAACAAGACGGATTTAGGTCTTTACTTTACTCCAGAGACTCTCATCAAGATAAGTGTATTGAGACAGAAGGACCGTGCATTGAGAAATAATGACGTTGTCGGACATCATGAAACTAAACGGCGACAGCGCCGGGTGATCATATAATGCCCTTTTTATTTAATGATAATTTGGCAAATAATCATCATATCAAGCTGAAATTTTCAACACTTCTTCAAATTTTGTTGTTTTATGTTCCCTATAAATTTTGTAATCAACGACTACATAGTATTAATTTTATCGCATCAGTCCACGAACTTTTTGATAACCCCTCGTATGTCCACCATTGACAGTAGAAATTATAAATCACATTCGTTCCGCATTGGAGCGGCAACAACGCTTGCTCAACAAGGGGCATCAAGGGAAGTTATTCAAAATTCTGGGAGATGGCGATCTAATGCATATTGTTCATACATTCGCTAATCATGTCAAATGCTAACATGCATCTAGTTTTTAATTTAGGCTATTATAAAGTTTGGATCGTGGGATCATCCATTGTCAAGAGAGCTTTTTTAGCATCAAGATCAAGAACAGGGGGTCACAATCTTAATGTACCAAATACATGCATATGGTGGCAGGGCTATGGGGGTATGATCTTGAGTCAGCTGATCCCTAAACTGAAGCTTCTGCAGAGATTAGAAGATGAACCCAATCTTGTTATTATTCACTGTGGGGCAAACAATCTTGGCCTATTAAAGTTGAAAGACTTGTTGCAACAGCTGAAAGAAACGCTATTAAAGGTATCAAAACTATTCCCCAATTCAAAAATAGTCTGGTCAGGTATGCTCCCTAGGTTTGTATGGCGTTATTCAAACAATGTAAAAGCCATAGAAAATGCAAGAACTAGAATGAACAGGGAAGCTATTAGGGTGGTTACAGCACAGGGTGGGGCATACATTAAGCATTTACAGTTTGAGAGTAAGCATAGGAGTTTGTTTCATGACGATGGGGTTCATTTATCACAATTGGGGAACGACTTATTGTTGAACAATTATCAGGGAGCAATTGAGCATATTAGGTCTGGTCAGGGTAATGCATTCCCGGCTAAATGAGCGGGCCCTGGTCGTGGTGACCAATTGCGTTGGGGTACTGCCGCCGCCACTATGGTTCTTGGCACCCCATTTGTGGCGGTTGCAGTGCCATAACCTTTTGTGATAGGCTTAGGCCAGCACACAAATGGTTATGGCCCTTGCAAGTGGCGTATTCCGTCGCACCTCAACGCAATTGGAGGAGTGCAACACATTAAGCTCATTACATTTGATTATTTTGATATTGAAGTTTGAACTGTTGAATTTGTACATTGAATTGAAATTGATTATTCAATATTGATTGCTAATTGACTATTGGGCATTTAATTATAATTTGACTTGGGCATTTAAGAGTAATTGACTATGAATTATTATTGTATTGGTGACGTCCATGCACTTGTGACCTACCCAGTGCAGGATTCGCCCAATTTGGGGCCGTCACATATTTTGTATTGATTGTTTATTGTTATTGAGGGGTAGCCCTGTGGTAACCCCTGAAATGAATCACCGCGGCCAGAAGCGCCACAATAAACAAGTATAAATATATATCTTGTTGTTTATAGGGAATCTGAGATAAACCTTTTTAAACTGAATTTATTTTTGTAAAGGTACTATATCATCTTATGACTTTAACATTCTTTGAAATAAAATTGTATACCCCGCTCTGTACTGAATTTGGTTTGGTCACGTTATTTGATAGTCACGTGAGAAATGCATGTAATGTGTACTGTATGTAGGTCACAAAAAAATTTCAATATCGCAAGGGCATACCCTAGTTAAAATTAAAAATTTAAGTAATAGACTGTTTCTACATAACTTGTAGTTTATGGAAAGTGCTGCTGCTTTAAATAGAATTCGCATTTTATTAGTTTA